ACAAGTAAGGCAGACAGCAGTGAGGAAGTTGTACTCTAGCGACTGCGCATAGGACATACCTACGTCACACATACATATGGTAACAGTTTACGTAGGAATGACCAACCTTATTGTCAAGCATGTTTACCATTTACAGTCAAACATTTGATGATTGAACAAATAGGTGACAGATTATATAATGTACAGTTCACAAACAAAATTGATATAGTTTCTATGCGCTCAGTAAATGATTATTTACACTCAATCGATCTGTATACAATAATACATTGTATGATTTATTGTACAACCAGTTCATTTTTTTCACTTTATTTTTCAAGTCATAACTACTGTATATTATCAGAGTAATTAAAAACAATATGAGTCTGAGGGGACAATTTGACGTGAGGGTGTTCAGGAGATATCACGTTGTACACATCGAAGCCCTATTTTTTCTCACTAATTTTTCAGCAACAAACTCGTAAATTCGTAAATAAAGTTATATATTTTCAGAGATATATATGGAAAACTTGCTTAGTACAAAAGGGTCATAGGTTCGAATCATGCTCACAGCACTACGCTTCTACTGCCGTGGTTTAAACAAGACGTGCTGCCATTATCAAGTGTTCTTATGTTTAAGTGGGTGCTAGTAAGTAACCCTGCTACATCCCCGCATCTCTCCAAGAGGGAGACACTAATGTTACACTACAGACATGAGATCGGTTCTATAATGACCTGTTGCTCTCAACAACATCTGAAAGCATTGAACCATTAAATAGCACTTTCATGAGTGAACTAAAAATGCAAATTTAAAAAGGAAATAAATTTGCTCTTATTATCAGGAAATATTGTAGAATGAATTCGATCGGTTATGTTGCAAAACGTTTTCTAATAGAGGTTATTAAATTGACAAGATCGTGTTCGTCTCTCTTCAGTAGTCTTTATTTTCAGTGTTTTCTCCCGTGGGAGGAGCGGCTCTCAAGGGGCCCCGTCATCTCTAGACACTGTCTTCATATGATTTGAGCTGCATTTTTATTGTGCAAATATGTCGAAAATGGTATTCGTGAGAACAAACTTCACGTTTACGATCTCACAACCGCCTTCCAAGATTACCCAAACCACATTTATCACAACCCCATTATTTTGGTTAGTCTTATGTAGATCTTACAATTCATATTTAGGTACCGTTTTAGTACTCGACTTTGCAAGAGAATACAAAATGTATTGAAAGAGTTGTTATATCTTATTTAAGTATATACTTACATTTGTACTACCGTTACATGGTATGGCCTTAGCTGTTGATAGGACGTTAAACCCCGTGCAACAAAACCAACCAACCAATCCGCAGCATTGAGTGAAAGTATAATTTTCCTTATTCAATGACTATTTATGGAATTTTTAAAATACGAATTTAAACAACATCATTTTCTAAATGAATTGCATGACTGTAGAATAGAGGATTCATGCTACCTTAACGTGAAAAGAACATCTTTTTCAAAAGCGTTTCCAAAGGAACGTTGGTGTTGGGGAAATATTTTACTTAAAGTCGTATGTACAAAAAATATTTGTTATATCCACTTAATGTCCAAAAGGTCGGAACCATAACTAGGTATGACGTCAATGTTTATATACCGGAAGTCGCTATCAAATATGTCAGACGATTGATCCTGGTTAATTAGATCGAACAAGTGAGCAGAACTTCGAGGCTGTATAAGCATATAAGCGTTTAAATTACAACCATTAGCAATTTGGATGACGCATTATCTCCGTGTCATGTTTTCGTTTTATCTTTTGTGTTCTATTAAACGATAATTGGAACATGCTTACCGACCCCAGTAATATTTGACAAGAATGCGTGTTATGTGATCAATATTATATCAAATGAGTTCCTGGTTTGGGTTGTCTGTCGATAAACGTCCTAATAACAGCTCCGGTAACTTACCCTAAGGACGTGTTTTCATATACATGTGCAATGTTTGCGGGATTGTATGTGTGCAAGAGGCAGGGTAAGTTTGGATGTTAACCTTTTTACGATAACGCGGATCTGATGTCGTCTTATAGAGCTACATCACTAAAAAAAACATGCCGAAGTCAGTATTATGTAACCGGGCGGAATGATGTGCTGGGTGCATTCGATAAGGTATTTCAGTGAGATAGCACTATAAAGTCAGCATCATATTCGCGCTATCACAAGGTGGCAAGCACACTAACATATCCTGTCTCCTGCCTACACACATGCAAGCACGCGTACACTTCTCACGTGGAGGTACGTCCTTAAAGTACCTTAGCTGTGAATAGAACGTTCAACAAAATATTAAACCAAACCAAACCATGAAGAGGAGACCCAGCATAGCATTCCGCCCGGTCATATACTACTGACAACGGGTAACCAGTTGTTGCGATAACCTCAAACGCTGACCGTTAAGCAGGGCATACAAATTGCATCAACTACGGACTGCGGTTCCAGTTGACGGATAATGACATGAGAGTCCAAACAAACTGAATTTTGACAAACATATATAAAAAGGCATTGCAAATCAGCGACTGCCTAGCTTCGACGCTTCATGAATTAGTCACATATTCAAGATATTTAACGGAAAGTGCAAACCTGCTTTTCCAGATCATAATTGAGTTAAACGTTTAATCGATGAGTAGCACGATACAAGCATAAACCCCATTGGACACCAATGTATTGTTTTAAGATACGTTTCTTTGCAAATTATGTACTACGTTACATGGCGATTACTCGCTAATAGACGTTGTGCAACAATTATTATTACTTTTATTATTACTGCTTAACGGTCCATCAACACAGGATAGGTCATTTGGGCTATCACATGGTCGACAAAAACAAATGCAAAATAAAAACATCAAACAAACGTAAAGGTTAAAAGACAAACATCAACTTGAATATTGAAAGTGGCTATGGTGACTCGAATTTTATCAAAAACACAAACAGCTTTCATATAGCCCACAATGGATGAGACAGTTATGTTTTCGAAAAGAGATTTAAGACATGTAATGTTATTAAAGAAATGTTCTCGAGTTGACTGAAAGTCGATACAATGTAGTGCTATACTGTAAATGGTACCTCTGCATTGAGGCTGGACTCCACGTATTAATAAATAACAATGGGTAATGAATGAATGACCCATCCGGAGACGGACAAGGACAACCTCGTCTTGGCGCCTCTCTCTGTAGCTAGGATGCAAGTCACCGATTGCAGGTTTAATAGAATGTAATTTGTTATCGACGCATTGGTTCCAATTATTTTGCGACTGTGATCTTATAAATGTTGTAATTAGCACCAAAGTCATCACGTTATCAACACTCTGCAAAATGAAATATAATTGGCAATTAATACATTTACATTGTACCATGACATGTTATACCAAATATTAAGGTTCCTGTTTTGTTGATGGCTACGTACAAACATGTAGTTGTTTTAAGGGAAAGTTCACCATCGTTTAGAAAGAAATTTCTTATAGAAGCTGTCGTATGTTACCAGTGAACTGATAGCAAATTGTGAATCGCTTATAAATATGTTTGGTAGGTCGCGATTGAATTTGTCAAGTGATTGCGACGTGCAACACTAACTCATTTTGAAAAACAGTGGGCTTTGTACACTTTGATGCGTTTTAAATTGTTCGTGTATTGGTTTTCAATCGGGGCATTCGAGCAGAAAATGTCTTACTGCTAAGAAATACTAAGTTATTATTGTTTGTATACACAGCTGGCGGAAAAGTGTTATAATTGAGGTTATTATACCTCTACTGAGTTTTTCCTATATAAAAACAATACTATAAAATCTGCTATTTCCCTTAAATCATTTAAATATCTCAATCTGAGAGCTACTCCCTCCCCAAATTAGGACTACTCCCTGCAAAAAAGGACTACTCCCTGCCAGAAAGAGGACTACTTCCTCATGAATATTTGTAGGTGGAGCTTATAAGATTTCAACCAATGAAAACATTGGTAGGCGGGGCCTCCTCCGTGACGCTTGTGACGTCACATTTTCAGAACCAAATGACAACAGTTAAAATGGCCACCGATGAAGGCCGTTTTGTTGTTGTAAAGAGGAGTTACAGCAGTTTTTGGACGCTAAACGTAACCTAAATACAAAAGATGTTATATAGACTGCAGTGAATTCACTTCAAACTTATTCAACAGAACGGAATGCCGGAAGCGTCGACGATTAGGTGCATGCAAGCTATTTTTTAAAAAAGTGGATAGGACTAGATCTAGATATGGTAGGAAAACAATGGTGACTATGAGATTCAGTCTATAAAAACACTTTTTGAATGCTGGAAAGGAAGTTATCATCAACGACGATGCATACAGTACTTCCAATTATATTTTTTTCTCTTTCAGTCTTTGAAATTGTAAAAGGAAATGAACAAATAAATTCATTTGTTAAATTGCCTTTACTGGGTGAATAATTTGTTTCGTTATAATAAAACAGTTATAGAATGGGTAATTCGGGAAATAGCAAATTTATGGTCACCGTTGGCGAAAAACTATTCCCCTCGACGGCTTCGCCGCGTCGGGAAATAGTTTTTCACCTCGGGGGACCATAAATGTGCTATTTCCCTCATACCCATTCTATAACTGAATATTATTACGTGCCTAACGGCCCATCAACACCGGAGAGGCTATTAGGGCCAACAAATGGTCGATAAAATCAAAAGGGAACGGAAACTGACGTCAAACAAACAAAAAGCTCAAAGACAAACGTGAACTTAACTATTAAAAGTTGCTATATCTTTTGGAACAGACCAACAGATTAAGAAAGTTAAAAGTCTAAGGCATCTGAAGAAAGGAGACAGCGCCTTAAGGTTACAGTGTAATTATAATGGGAAAATATATATCTTCCTTGGTCAGCAACCTTGTTATTCTATGTGGAAATGTCGATCATATGCTCTGGGTTAAATGGAATTATCTGTCATACTCACATTGTTGACCGCTAGGGATATGTCAGTTTCACAGACATAAGAGACTCAAATAGCTTTGTCGTTGTCGTCATAATGACAGGTGCGTTCCGACTTTGAAACGCGCCTTTAATTACAATGACATTATATTGCATACATCTGTCAGGATTACCGACTCGTCGACTTGTTGATTGAAGAACGACACCCCAGTACATGCAGATCATACCGTACAGGAAGTGTCAAAATTGGTTAAAAATATAATAAATATACATTGTACAATTGAAGGTAAGCAGGACATAACATCAAATCTGCTGAATTATTTTTAAGGAACATATGGCAACTAATTATTATATAAGCTGTCATAATCACATCTTGACAAAACACCGTAACAACTGAAATACATGAATGATGTATTATACAGTTTGTAATTATCGCAATGAGACAAATACATCAACGTACCGTCACCAGCACAAATATATATACATGTAACAAACATGAAGGCATGTCCTTAAAATGATCTTAGCTGTTAATAGAATATTAAAGAAATATATTTAAATCAAAACACCTTTCAGATTCTATTTTGGTTAACCTGCATTATACAATATTTATTTAGCTGTTTTTTGTAGAGATGTTTTTTATTGTTTTATTATGCCTCAAAGCAAACATCTCATAACAGTTATCTTTTCGTGTTTCAGATGGTCCGAACTACAAGGCCTGTTCATCAAGCGAAGACTGTGGGGACCCGGGAGAGATCACATGTCACAGTGGCACATGTGTGTGTATCAATTCGTTGGCGAAGGCAGACCGGTACGGCAAGTGTCCTTCACGTAAGTATCATGTTACTATCTATTATTATCATTTCTAAGAGAGTCCATCCCTCACTGTCAGTTTGATGTTTGTTCGAACATCTGACAAATGGTGCTGGTAATGAATTATACATGTAGTGTATATATGTGACCGTATTGGTCAGCCGTGAGGTGTTTAACTACCGGCCAAAAGCAAGAGCCGTTAGGTCAAGTTATAGAAATGTTTTCTTCCTGTGTCGTTTGCAACTTTTGACAGAAACTGTTTTAGTCTTCACAACAAAAGTAAACACCAATATACTAGGAAACACTTGGAAGGCCTGTATTATCCCAGTACACCGTCATCCGATAGTAACAACGTTCGGCTTAACGTTGTCATGAGGGGACAGACTTAATAACATTTATTTAACCTTTATATATAAATGAAACTTTGTTACACAAATAATAACGGCAAAATTGTACGTTATTGCTTATGCATTATACGGTTAACTCATTCACTCCTGTAATTTCATAATGAACTATATCAACCTTTAAACTGCTCAAATGTGTCTTCAGTGGTGAATGAGTTAAATAAGCTAAAAGTGGCAATTGCTTGTTTTTATCATGGTATTAATAAATCCTGACGGGTTTTTTAAAAACAATCACAACTATGTTTGCTTTAAGGGTATGTTTCACCATACTTGCAAGAGCATCGTTCTTGCTTTTGTTTTTGTCGAAACCGGTGACGCGCTAAATTCGTCATTGACAACAGTATATGTATTTTGATATACAATGTAAATGTATTAACTTCAAGTTCCAAATACCTTCTGTATCATACCATGTAAATAAAAAAGTTTTCGGGCCATGAGTGTACAAAGAGACAGTATTACAGGCGATGCCATGGAAACATATGCAGAAAAAACACTTAGGAGTTACAAATTAAACCGTCCTTTACTTAAGAATAACAAAAATTGTTTCTGGAAATGACGTTTCCGAAGACTGAACTTTACCATGAAATAACACTGGTTCGTTATTTGTTACCAAATATAGAGAGAACGGATATTGCCCTACCTTGTACACCATTGCAGTAATGCTCTCAGCGTAATATTCAATTTTGCGGCGTGCCTTACCTCACACGTGCAAGTGGCGCTATTATAACCTTTGGTACAAACGCGCGCGTAACGTCAACATTTATACAAGCTTGGTTTATCATGGTGTGATAGTGAAGGCTTGCTTTACAAAAAATGTTACTGATGACAACACTTTGTGTTTAAAAAAAAGGAATCAATGACGGTCGACGATAACCCATACTTACTAACAGGCTGGAATCGTTACTTTTGCCGGACAAAGAGGTTAATAGAAACAGACGTTATGCTGACAGGGCAGCGTCTAGCGTGAGCTGCTCTCTAGTGGGAATCGTATTTGGTATCAATATATTTTACAGTCTTGTAAAGAAAGTGCATAGGTGGCACTCTTGGCAAGGGATATTTTTGGTCCGTTTCTGAAAGATTAGTCCGGGGAGGCCTTCGCATGCTATGGAGTCTGTTTCCGCCTACATAACGCTTTGCCGCTGAAATACGTTTATAAACTAGTGTAATTTGCTTACATCAATGTAAAATTTTGTTGAATAGTCTGTTGAGTAATGCAGACTGTTTATATTATTCGAGTACGATCAAACTGAATTAGCAAGAGATTCCAAAGGAATCTTGGCGCCCAACATTGTAATATTTTCATTAGGGCTATGTGAATGTGATCTGCTCTCTTCTTTTCTCTTAACTGTTTGGTCAAGTCATGAAAACTGTTAATGCACCTTGAGGTAACTTTTGATCTCAACTTTATACTGCTATGTATAAAAGACAACCTTCATAGTGAGTTTGTCGGTTCCCATATTTACTGGTACAGTTCTTAATGTGGACTAAATAGAGGTCATCATTGCAATATGAAAAAGCTCTGTTAAGTACTTCATGCGACAATCATGTTTTTATGATCACTCTCAAAATAAAACAGCCCAACCAAGGACCAAGGGAAACATCAAGAATAGTGTAAGGACATCTCAGGATGTTAGGTTAAAAATAAACTGTCTTCATTAATATAGTTATAGAAATACCAACGATATACTGTTTACTAAAATATGACATTTAGAGGCTAGAGTCTGATCGTACTGAGACCTGATCCCGGAACCATGAAAATGCTTTTCCTGTCCTAAGAAGCTTGGACAGTCTTTACTTCATACTTTATAATTTCGGTAACACATATTAAAAATCAACATACCAGAGTCTGTAAAAATAGTAGTTTCTACTCCTGCTTAACGCTCAGCAATTTAGGAGTGGGACGACTGGTTCGCCAGTTGTCAGTATAATGTGACCGGGTTGGGTGTCCTGCTGGGTGTCTTCGGCAATATGTTTCAGTGAGGTAGCACTATAAAGTCGGCATCAGTTCCGCGCTATCACAAGGAGACAAAAAGAAACATATCGCAGCCTCCCAAAACACACACGCATACACTACACACATGCATATTGCACACAGGGGGAGGGGGCGTCCTTAAATGACTATAGCTATTGATATGACGTTACAAAATACTAAACCAAACCAAACCAAGCCAAGCCGTCTAGACTACGATGTTACGCATTTTGTCTTACTATTTTGGTCCTAAGTTAAACACAGTTCTTCTGTATTGGTGTGTAAATCTGTTACACACCTAGCTTGTTGTAATAGATTTTCTTAGGATAAGTATCTTAAGGAGAACAGTCATTCCAACCCCTACTGACAGTCTCAAGCATAGTTGCAATGACACTTATATATCCTCGGATTAGTTCTCCTGTTTAAAGTAAATTTTAAATTGCTTAATACAGATTCTTCATACATGAAAGAGTTACATTTGTTGTAATATATTTCTAGACATGTTCGGCACTGCACTGAGGAACCTTCAAATGCTTGATTTTCGGTGAAACTCAATTTGTGTTCTATGATGGATTACTTCTGTAAATTTGGACAGATAATCTCACTTTTCAAGGTCTGCAGAAAATGTTGATGAAGCTCTACTTTCGACGCTGATGCACATGACAGTAATGTATAATGAAATGATGATTTTTACATACAAAAGAAAGTATTAGCAATGTATTAAATGAAAGAAAATATAACAAAGGACCGAGTACGCTACCTTAAAGCAAACCAGCCTTTGGTTTGGTATCGGCTCCACAACACATACATACATGCACATATACACCACACACATCCCTAAATATCCTTAGCTGTTAAAATGACATTAAACCCTTTTACTGTCCATTAGTTACATAACATTATACATTGGCAGTATCTGCTGCTGATCGCACGCAGTTTCGGCTTTATAATTGTAACTTATGTCAGACTGTTAAACGCTGTTGGAAAGTCTCAAAACATTCAACAAGTTTCTTAGTGAATCAGAAGGAAATTGTGCGATTGGTTTCAATGAGCTGATGAACTATGGATCGATCTGGCGTAAAAAATAATAAGAAGGCACAAAAAAGTTGTTTCCTAGAACATAGATATGAATATAAACATTCATTATCTTTTTCTAGAACAAATTTCAACTCTGCAAAATTTGACTGCACAAGGTAAGGATAAATTCTATTTACGGTTTCTTATTAAATGCCTTTTGCCTTCCGTTACAATTCTAGAACAACAGTGATGTGTCCAGGTTTTAGGGAAAACGAAATATTAAGGTACAAGTATACAGTGTTTAAATGTCTGGCTATTGAAAATGTTTCTTTGTTCAGTAAAGCATGATTTGATCTGTCGTGTAGATTAGGTAACAGTTTATCAGTTCCCATGTTTGTTTAAGTATCATGTATATCTGAAAGCGAACTGAAAGGATTCTTCAGAATGTCAGCATTTTCAATAGTATAGGCAAAATCTGTTTCATTCGTTCTGTTTGTAAATGGGGAACGGACTGGGATGAGTCTATTTGTGTATTTTTCGTCGCATGAATCTTCACAATGACTTTGGAACTATAAAGTGCTTGTCTACTTACATTGGGGACTTCTTTTAAGGAATAACTCCTTTACATTTTTGAAGTTATTTACTTAATTTCGGTATCGTGTTACGTATGCTTACGAGTAAAAACATGCACTACATATAGCAAAACAAAAGTATTCTTCTGTTTCATTTTTTTCAGTTATATACCAGCCGATGATCGAAGCTATTCAGCCCCGTTTTCCTCTTAGTGATCCACTCTCAAACACTAACGATTGATTGTACTCATCATGCAATACGTGAATTGTACAGCTTAAGCAAGATACGTCATCTTTCGATTTAAAGCGACATTTGATATGTGATATATTTCGTTTTTTCATCAATATATGCTTTTAACGTTGTTATCAAATGTAAATGTCATCGGAAATATTACATGTACAATACGTTTTTGCAAGAAAAACATCTTTGTTTTGTTAATACCGACTTTGATGTGCATCCCTAGAACGTTTATTAATTATGTTCGGAATTACAGACATTGAATTAACACGGTCTTTTGTCTCTGAAAAATACGATAGTTAATAGCTAATAGTGTTAGTTAAGCGACGCCAAAAATAATGTCGCTACAAATCTGGAACGCGTGGCGTTTTATAGTTTCATTTTTTTACAATTAGGTCGTATTATGAAATGACATTAGCGTGGGATAAGCACTGTTCTCAAACTATTTTATTTCATAGGTCCTTCCGATCTGTCTTTTTTTCCTCGCAAATTGAACACCCTGGTCCAGTGTTTAAAGCAATCTTAGGTAATGATAACCAATTCGCACGCGTGTTGGGATACCTATTCCGTCTTTGCGTATTGCAGAGGTATTTTCTCTTGTGAGCAAGTATTGATTGACACTTAATTATATAATGGTTTCATCCTCTTTACACTTTCATGAAATAAAATACATTTTTATTTGACCCCTCAAGTATATCTCTATCTGTGGTGGCAATGTTTAATAAACAGGTCATGTACAGATAAACTATCTTTGAAATATGGTTTAGAAAGCCTTTACATGAGTACCATTTTGTTGACAATGCTGTAGTTTTGGCGTG